CTGTGCCTAGTGTGGAGATCGTGGACGAGGTCCACGATGTCCGCACTAGCCCAGGCGGGTGCCCGCCTCTTGAGGTCCCGGGCAAGCTCCCGGGAGCCACCAGCCTGGTCCCGGGAAGAGGGGAAGGGCTGGGAACATCGGGTGGGTGGCTCGATCCATGCCAGGTGCAGGGTCTGCTGGCTGGGTGCTGGCAGGCTTACACCTGGCACAGGCACCGTAGCCAGCCCGTGCCCCTTTAAGGGCTCCGGGGCCGGGAGGGGGGCAGAAGAGTTTCCCTGGTGGTGCCCAGAGTGGCCACCAGGGAAAGCTGGGGAGGGTTAGCCTACCACTAGTTCGAATTAAGCTACACAGCCCTTAATTCAAACTACTTAATTCGAACTAGGCTTAGTCCTCGAAGAATGAGGTTTACCTAGTTCGAATTAAGCGCTCCGCTAGGTTGAATTAAGTTCCAACTAGCGGTTTGCCTGTGTAGTGCCTATCAAAGTGAATTCGAACTAATGTTTGTTAGTTCGAATTAACTTTGTAGTGTAGACATACCCATATGGATTTATTAAATGCCACTGTTGGGTTAAACTAAAGGGGACTGAGTTGTCACTCTCACACACACACACTCATGCCTCAGGCACTCACACACTTACCCTGGCAAAGGGTTGCAGGCAGAGAGAGAGAGAAAGCCAAGGCATAGTAGCTCCGGAGCATCGGCCTGGCCAGCTGATCAGAAAGAAGGCTTCAGTTCTCTCCTTTTTGTCATGCACGCAAGGACCGTCCCATCCCAGACCTCCTTCCAGGTCCTTCCTTGGCTTAGAGCAGTGTGTGTGCAAGATTGCTTTAATTAGTGATCACCTGGCTCCTGGCGCCACATGTTTGGCCTTGCTCTTTTCCTGGCTCTTGTCTCCACTCACACACTCTCTCTCTTATCACCTGCACAGCTCCCCCTTATCGCAGGAGGGAACGGCAGCGTAGAGTGAGTTGCAGAACGCAAAAGGCTGAGAGTTATAAAGTTTACAAAGTTGCAGAGCTCAACAGTCTTACAACAAGTGGCCAAACTTCAAAGGCAATGCGGTTGAAAGTGACAAAGGAACCACCACCAAGCTCAGTGGTTACAAAGATGCCTTCCCAAGCACAGCAACCGACTGAGAACCATTCCTCTCTCAGCCAACTTCAAATCATCAGTAAAGAAATGGCTTGGAAGACAACTGTCCCTTCCCACCCCCCGCCCCAAACAGTGTTCCATGCAGTCAGCAGCATATTTTGTCAGTCTCTCTGTCATGTGTTCGCAGGACCTTACAGTTTAATGCATTCCCAGAAAATGTATGTGAACATAACAACAGCCACACTGGGTCAGACCTGGGCTAGGTCTACACTCGCGGCTTCTTGCGGGAGTAATATGCAAATGAGGCTAAGCATGGAATATTGCCGAGCCTCATTTGCATACCTAATGAGCCATCATTTTTTTCAGATGAGGCTCTTGCACAAGAAGGAGCGTTTACATTGAAAAACCCTCTTGTGCAATGCCGTTCTTAGGTGCAGGAGCCTCTTCTGAAAAAAATGGTGGCTCATTCGGTATGCAAATGAGGCTCGGCGATATTCCATGCTTAGCCTCATTTGCATATTACTCGCGCAAGACGCCGCAAGTGTAGACATAGCCCAAAGGTCCATCTAGCCCAGTATCCTGTCCGCCGACAGTGGCCAATACCAGTTGCCCCAGAGGGAGGGATTACAACTGGTAATCCGCACGTGATCCCTCCCCTGTCACCCATTTCCAGAGTGGGAATCGAGTAGTTCCAATATACTAGCAGAGCGAAGGCTTTACACAACCGGCAATATAGAGTAGGCAGATTTGCAGATAACTTTCAATATGGTAGCAAGGGGATAAGAAAGAAGGTCCCCTCATGGATCAGTAAGGGTATGTCTACACAGCCACATTACAGTAGACTTCTGATAATCCAGCATCCTTGGGACCCAAGGGTTGCCGGATTATCGGATATGATGGAGTATCGGGAGGTATTCTGGCGGGGTGCTGTGATGGGTCTCCCAGGACCCGCATTGCAGGGAGGGGCGTGGGGAGGGGTGAACCCTCCACAGTGT